GCTAAAAATACAGAAATTCAAGGTGATTCTGTTGGTGAGGCAAGGAAGATGCAAAGAAACGGCGGAACTGGCAAAAAAATGTTTCAACAAGATATTTTTCATTTAATTTGAAATTCAGTTGAATTTTATTTCTAAAAAAGTCATTTATCCAGCGGTGGACTCGATCTGAATGTCATTTACAAATAAAAAAGGGTTTAAAAGGAAAATAAAAATTGCAAATAGTTGGTTGTACCTGTAGAAAAGTAAGTTTCATTCACAAAACTTTGCTCAAATAACAACAGGAAAACTGTGTCATTTTACTTTCTTTTGGATAAAAAAGGTGCAGATACAGATTAAATCACTTGTCACAGCTTTACAGTAATTTCTAAAATAACCTGTTGATATTGAACAGTGATGCGCATTCTGATTGCCAATTACTTTACACTTTTAAAAAGATGCAAAAACAAACAAAAAAACAATTAAAAAGAACACTAAATATTTATTTTAAAGGCAAAAAAAGCCAATTTCCCTTCTTGTTCCAGAGCTTTAGTTTAATATCAAACACATCTATATGCATAAAAACAAATCCGAGACAAGACTGTTCTTGTTTGAGGTACCTGCAGAGGCAAAGGTGTTTTTTAAATTATTCAAAACTGATTTAATCGAAGTTAAACAGAAACTGAATAGTTTGTGTAAAACCCAACGCAAAGAAATCCCCAGTATTTTCCCCCCAGATTAAATAAAATAATGCAATTCCACAATGAAAATGACAAAAAACAGCACAAACCAACAGATAATGAATTGCATCGAAGTACCAATGAAAGTAGAAAAAAAATCACCAGCCCTTAACTAAAACAAATAATCTTTACTTTTTTTGCCAACATTAGAAATGTACATCCCATATTTACAGATAGAACCTTAAATATTTTTACACCTACTGAATCACTTGTGCTGCTGTTTACTTCGGCTAAAACTACATTCACTTTTTTTTTATTTCATTTTTTCAACAGAGCAAGTACAAACGTGATGAACCATCTTTGGAAATTAGAATCAGTGATTACAGGATTGCATTTCATTTTGATCGGATCAACATTCAATCATAGCAGAAATAAAAACATAAACATAAAAATTTGCGATGTTTCTGTCAACATTTGGGCACATCAGACGGCAGAAAAAACAGCCTTAAAGTCACCTGCTAATCTCTACATAAATTACTTTTATTCACATCGAAGCAGTTTCAAATCGACAATTTCATAAAATAGAAATGATGAATTCATGACAGTTAGTCACATCTGAGCTCATTAAACGGCAAAAAATACGAGGACAAAACTTAAAATATAGCCCTTAACTTTGAAGTTATGTGAAATACATGAATATATAGATTTAGCATCCATTTTTTAAAGAGTATTTTTTTTTTAAAAAAGGGAAAGAGCTGCATGCATGATATGCACAATTCTTTGCCTTTATGTTTGATACCATTTTATTTTAAATTAATCTTCCACAGGAAGAACATTTTGCATGAAAAATAAAAATACAGGCAGTACTTTGATTTCCGGGGACAATTTGAAATGATTTTGAGGATGTTTGAAGGTTTTATTCAAAAAGTGTCATGCATGAAGTTAATTATTTCTCATCGTCAGTTACATGCAGCTTCTGGCGCTTTTTATTTTATTTTATTTTTTATTCTACATTAATAAAGTCAAATGTAAAATGTCAGGAAGTGACCGCAGGCAGCTGACGTCATGCAAAACTCAGAATGAAGTTTCACAGCTACGCAGGCAGCCATTAGGTTTACAAAGCTCAATAATCACTAGAAAAGTTGAGCCAAGTTTGCTTTTTATGAAGTTCTGATAAAGGGATCAAGAGTAGGTGCCAGGAAAAACACGGCCATTCCTACAATAAGCTTGCACTTATGATGGTTACACGTTAGAGCGACATGTATGAATATTCTCTAAAGCAGTAAATTTCATATTGAGTCAAATACTCAATAATCCATGTTGCCTTTACTTTTCTGAGAATTACGTTCCAATTAAAACCCCTCAAATAAAACGACAGTAGAGATCCTAGTGTGAGACTAAACCAGCAACTAAAACCATCACTTAACCCTTATGTTTGTGACAGTGTTGCATGGAAATCACCACCAAATGATAGAAACTATGTGACCTGGTGTTTGTTACGGAGCTCAGCTATTTCCTTATTTGTCATGAAGTTGTGCAAAAGATAAAAACAAAACAAACGCACCATCAACCTAAACCTACTTCTATGGAAGAATTTTTGTTTGCAATCTGTCAACAAGACAGAAGGTGAGTTTTATTTAAACTGTTTTTTTATATCTCACTTTAAAGGTGAAGAAAATGTTTTAAAATAGATAACTTTGTCTCCAAATGTGATCATTCACCTCTTTTTTTGGGTGTAAATTATCCCAACATCGACTTCAGCCACTTAAAGACTAAAATCCTCAGACAAACAAAATTTAACATTCTGCTATCTCGTGAGGACATCTGTGTCTAATCTAGTGTTAAATGACTGTATGTGTATTAGAACACTACATAGTAGCAATCAGAGCACAAACTTAAGAGTTAAGTTTTGCACAAACGTCGCTCTGAAGCTGGATAAATTTACTCTTCAACATCTACAGAAAAAAATCATGTTTTAAAGTGCAACCACCATCTCTACTTTATTAAAGGGATCCACGATTAGTTGTAACATTAGACTTTATTTGATAAACATATATTTTAACTGTAAAGACTGTAAAAATACTGTAGGCTGCTTGGTTTTTATAATCTTATACTAAATTTTAAAAATGTTTTACACAGACGGAGCCATTTT